TACGCCAATGCAGACAAGTGCATCTTTGGCGCAGAAGAGATTCCCTTTTTAGGGTGCTGCATTGGAAAGCGTGGCCTTCGAGCGTATCCCGCAAAGGTCAAAGCCACTGTAGACTGGCCGGTTAAATAAAATTAATAAGTGGCTTGGTCTCGCCAATAACTTGCACAAGTACAGCGGAAATTACGCAGAAAGGCGGCCATTATCCAATATCCTCAAAAAGGTTGCGGAATGGTGTTGGAACATCGAACATCAGGAGGCTTTGACGAGGTCAAAGACAGCCTCCTGCATGCACCAATACTGGCGCTGCCAGACCTCGATCGTCCTTTCAGCGCCGTCTGTGACGCTTCGGACTTTGCCACCGGCTGTGCACTGCTGCAAGCAGACGCCGAGGGGCGAGATCGGGTGATCGCGTCCATATCTCGACAGCTCAAAGCTGCAAAGAAGAACTACCCAGATTATGACTAGGAAGTACTTGCAATGAAGTATACACTAGTCAAGTTCAAGGTCCACCTACTCGGCTCCAAGCCGTTTGTAATCTTTACAGATGATGCGTCACTATGCACTGCGACTTATTCGCCCCACCTCTCGCAGAGAATGGCTAGGTGACTATCCTTCTTTGCGGAGTATAACTTCGAGGTATAGTATAAGCCGGGAAAGCAGAATGCTTTGGCTGATGTGTAGTCACACAGACCAGACTACGAGCTTGCTCATGTTACAAATGTAACGTCTGTGACGGATTTGATCCGCACCGCTTATGCAGGTCATGGGATGTGTGTAGCGCTGCTACGGGCTCTCGGGAGCAAGGAGTTTGGAGATTCGGACAAGAAATTATCACCAAGACTGCGTGCACGATTAAACGGATACTCGTTGAATAACGGCTTGCCATATTATAGCACCGATTCAACGGTTACACCACGAATTGTGGTTCCTCATGATGAGAATTGGAAATATCGCATCCTCTTTAAGGCTCACGATACGCCACTCAGTGGTCATCTCGGTCGTGAGAAAACGTACAACTCTGTGAGTCACTACTATAGGTAGCCCAAGCTGTGCAAATGGACGAGCACCTATGTGCGCACGTGTGAGACGTGTCAACGGTGAAACCCTCTTCAAATGCGGCTGCGCCGCTGGCCAGCTTACCGGTACCCACTGGGTGCTGCAGCCCATGAGTTTGAACTTTGTGTTTGGCCTGCCGAAAGATTCGGCGGGTAACACGGGTGTCGTAGTATTCGTCGATCAGTTGAGCAAGATGGCTCGTTTGGCGGCGGTACCAGACACCATCGACGGGGTCGGTACAGCTACGCTGTTTGTGGATCGTGCTTTCCGATAACACGGACTCCCAGAGTCGATTGCCTCTGATAGAGACCCCTGTTTCACGAAAATTTTTGGTCGACTATCTTCAAGGTGCTAGGCACCAAGTTGGATATGTCGACAGCGGATCATCCGCAGACCGATGGTCAAACCCAAAGGGTGAATCGCATCATCGAAGACGTCCTTCGCAGTGTCTGCGCTAAGACCACGGGGCGCTAGAGCGCCATGTTACCACTCGTAGCGTTTGCGCTGAACAATGCAGTGCAATCGTCTACCGGCTCCACGCCACTACGTGAACGGGCTGGTTCACCCTCGCGTTCTGCTGACGTCGCCTGCCTATGGCTCATGGCTTGGTGGGGGTGGAACAGCCGAACGGCTAGCTGATATCATTACTCTCACCATCCGCAAAAAAGTTGATGACTTCTTGTCTACCAGACTGAGTTCCCTACGACACGTTCGCGATGCGATGTCCGAAAGCCAAGACCCGCAGAAAGAATATGCAGATGAAAAAGGAAGAAGCACCTTCGGGGGACCTGGTATTATTAAATTTAGAAAACTTTCCAGCACATGCAGCCTCTGCTATTTTCCGATCGAAGCTTCGTTCACGGTTATCGGACCGTTTAAGGTTGTGGCCAAGCGGGTCCTAGCGTATACGCGGAACCTTCCAAAACGGATGCGTACCTCCCGGTGTTTTACGTGGGCTTGCTCAAGCCTCACCTGGATCCGGTGCAAGAAACCTTCGAAGCGTTGGCGCCGGAGCGGATTCCACAGGCCCTCGACTACCCAGGAGCTGAACTAGCAACTGGTTCTGAGCACGGAGTGCAACAACCTCCATTTTCAATGGCGCCAAGATCTGCATCGTCGCATGCAGCGACGTATTCGCCTGCTCCACGCCTAGGAGTCGCTCCAACAGAGCGCGGTAGACCTCAAGGTGAGGCAGCCGGCGCACGGCGTACTTTAAATCCTCAACAGCGTCCGCACAGCGATATACTACTCCAGCATGACGCTCAGCGGAGATCCGATCACGAAGGACCTCGTCCTCAAGGGCTAGAAGAGCATCACAAGACACCGGACGGCGGTCGACCCGGTCGTCACCACCCGCCACCGACTCTCCTTGATGAGAACGGTGACGTCCACTATCACGTGGAACGTCTAGTGAGACGACGTCGTCGCCAGGGCAAACCCAATATCTGGTGAAGTGGCGGGGATACCCGACTCCGAAAACTCGTGGGTGTCTGCCCAGACGCCGTGAAGGCATCTCATCAGAAAGATCAGGACGCCCCGCGCTTCCCAGCAATAACCAGGGAGGTAGAAGGGCCATGAGCTGAGCTCAAGCAGTGGCCCTGAGCTCTTGCGGTCGCAGACACAGAGCTCGCGGGGGCGTTGGAGGTTAATCCATATGTTGCAGGGCGACAATCCGAAGGAAGTCGACGTCGTGCCTTGAGTTTGGCAAAATTAAATCTGAGGTGTCGCTCCCCACGCACGTCCACTTCCTTGTGGTTCAACTGTAGGATATACAGTGGAAAAGGTTTCCGGTGCTGTTGCACCCACCGCTAAAAAAGCGCTTCGTCATCTGTAGCGCTTTTGCCAGGGGCGAGCACTACAAGTATTGTCCGCATTGCGGGTACACGAGAGTAGCCTCGTTGAGCACGCAAACGAGTGCGATAAGCTTCCAGCAAAAATTCTTATGGAACCAAGAAACGAGCTCGAGGAGCTTTCCGTTCGGCAAGCTCATCTTCTGGAATGGCCGGGGTCCGTTATGTGGAGGCGTAATTGTCGAAATACCACGTCCTTCGCTTCCACCACGAGACCTGCCAGGCGGAAGCCATATTCCACACGAGGGTCAATGAACGGCCGTGTATGGGCGCGCTTCAGAGCCGCCTTACTGGCGCTTCTAAAATTCAACGAGGTCATTGGTGATGACACCACGTCCCTCAGGTGTTGAGAGGTCAGGAAACGGACATGGGGTCCGCAAGGCGCGAGCAAGGATCGTCTCATGCGGCTGACGCGGCTCGCCTTTTTCGTCATCCCAGAAAAGGATTGCCAGACTCGTAGTCAACCACCTCCACATCCTCAACGAGGTCACATGTCACTGATAGCGTGCGCGACGCTCGGGCTCATCGAGCCTAGGATTTACATGCCTTGATGCCGCGGACGCACTGTCCGACATTGCACCGCATGTGGGAGACAAAGTTGGTCTCTGCCCGTGTGCGCTGTCAGAACCAGCGAGACTTGGTGACTTCAGTGTCGTTGACACTGGGCTCATTGAGCATGGAAGCCG